AATGGTGCTGCTTGCATGTACAACTGTTGAATTTTTAATTGATTTAAATTTGTATATTTTTGGTTATGATAATGACTCGAGATATTATTCTCCACTAAATACTATTTTCTTTCTAATCTTTACGTATTTTTTTTTTTCTATATTATAGGAATTAGTTTGGTTTTTAATTTTCTTGTGCTGGCAGTGCAATAGCAATTTTCTTACTTAAAAATTAACATAAACCTTATACATATTACAATTAAATTACCTTGCACATAAAATGCATTTAAAAATGTTCACTAAATCCTCCTCCTTATCCTCATCGAATATAGTGGCAACCGCTGAAGATTCCCCACTGGCTACGAAGCTGAAGAAAACATGGCTTAGAACACCAGTAGGCGAAGAGCAGGCCGCACAAGCCGTACTAGATCCTTCGATAGGTACCAACTAATTCAATCACTCAACTTCATAGTAGTGTATCATACAATTTTTAGAAGAATTATTTAACTAAAGTTGAAAGTGCCATAATGCCGTATGTATGCTTTTATGTTGTTATGCAAAAAAATTGCCTAAAATTATACTTTCCACATTTCATAGCGCTTTACTTTGTTTTTAGTTTATTTTGTATTAGTGGGTAATTTAGTTTCAATATGGCACTTTCTTGTTGTTTCTTACTTTTCAGTTGTGAGTTAGATTTATGATAATCCGTATGCTTCGTTGTATTTTTCTACTGATCGAATTATATATATAAATAAATTCAATATGATGTACACACATTCATACATACATATGTATGTATGTATACCTATAACTTTCAATTAAACTGTTTTGCGTGTATGTTTTGTCATTTGTAGCAGCGTTGGATGAGGTACTCAACAGTCCCGTACATCATTGTCCGGGCGGCGGTACAGCATCTGCAGAGAAGGGTGAACCACTTACGGCTAAACAACGCTACCAGATCAAACATCGTGAGCTGTTTTTGTCACGCCAAGTCGAGGCACTGCCTGCCACACAAATTCGTGGCAAATGCTCGGTTACGCTGCTAAACGAAACGGAGTCCCTGCAAAGCTATCTCAGTAAAGACGTGAGTCGTAAATTTCGCCTCGTACGCTTAACTACTTAGTCCTGCCTGTAGAAATTTATTTTCATTAAACATTCATAAATATTGTTATGAGCTCTCATGTTTTTTTTTATTCTTTCATATCTAGGATACATTCTTCTACTGCTTAGTCTTCGATCCTAATCAGAAGACGCTACTCGCCGATAAGGGTGAAATACGTGTAGGTAGTCGCTATCAGAGTGAAATTCCTGCCAAACTTAAAGATGTCTCCAGCGATGAACGCAAGTTAGAAGATCTCGAAACATTGGTGTGGACGTCACAGCATAACCTAAACGATCGCAAAATCGACCAATTTTTGGTGGTGTCGCGCTCGATAGGCACATTCGCCCGCGCACTGGACTGCAGCAGTTCGGTGAAGCAGCCGTCTTTGCATATGTCAGCCGCAGCAGCTAGCCGTGACATAACACTGGTACATTTTTTTTTAATTTCATTGCATTTTTACTGTTCGAGCGGTTAATTTTATTGTGTTAAAACTACTTATTTAACCTATCAGTTCCATGCCATGGATACGCTGCACAAGCACAATTACTCTATTGAAGAGGCGATGTGTTCGTTAGTTCCTTCCACTGGGCCAGTACTCTGCCGCGACGAAATCGAAGATTGGAGTGCCTCAGAGGCGAATCTATTCGAAGAGGCGTTGGACAAATATGGCAAAGATTTTAATGACATTCGACAGGACTTTGTAAGTATATTATGCTTTTTTTTAAATACATTTATTGACGATGAAATTATGGAAAATAAATTTGAAGATTACCTACGCTGGGTTAATGAAGTTCGGGGTTTCACCCGAACTACTTACTTACTTGTTTTCCACATGTTTTTCGTACGGTTTAAAGATTTTTATAATTTCCAATAATTAATTTTTTTTTTATGAATTAAATATCTACTAAATTCTTTCTCAATGATAAAAGTACGAATTTATCAAATTTGGTTAAACTTTAGTTATTCTTTATACTTTAGATGTGCATTTTTTTCGTATTAGAATTCTCCCAATAAACGCTGACATTTTTTTATTTTAGCTTCCTTGGAAAACTCTAAAACAGATAATTGAATACTATTATATGTGGAAGACGACCGATCGTTATGTGCAACAGAAGCGCGTGAAGGCTGTTGAGGCGGAACTAAAGTTAAAACAAGTCTACGTGCCGCAATATAACCAGGTAAACAAAGGTGGAAGCGGCGGTATCTCAATAAAAGGAGGTGCCAATATATATAATGGAACAACAAATGGTGGTGCTGATCTTTCTAACATTGGCAAACCATGTGAATCTTGCTCAACTGTTAAATCTTCACAGGTAAACAAGCAATCATACAATATACAACTGTAAGCAAAAACCATATTTCCTTATTGTTATCTTTAGTGGTATCCATGGACGGCCAGTGGTCACGGCATGTGTCGTCTCTGTCAAAATTGTTGGGACTATTGGAAGAAGTATGGTGGCTTAAGGAATGCGGCTAAGCTCGAAGTCGAACCTGAACCTAAAAAGAAAGCCCCCGTTGTGGTCGATGTAATCGACACCGAAAAAGTGAGCGATTTATCTAATCGCCAAATGCACAAGTATGTACTTAAGTCAAGTCCTAGAATACAACATTTTATACTTACTCGAACTCGTTTTTGTCACTTAGATGCCCTATGGTCAATTGCGGCAAAGAATTTAAATTAAAAACTCATCTAGCGCGCCACTTCGATCAAGCGCATGGTATCGCAATTAGCTCGGGTTCACCACGGCCCATCATGAAAACTCGCACCGCCTTCTATCTACACACAAATGCAATGACGCGTCTGGCACGCGTTCTCTGTCGAAATTGTATAAAATTCAAGAAGGCAGCACGTCAAACGTCGTTCGCGATCAACACGCTACTGGTGAAACAAGAATGTAAGTTTCCTTAAGTCAACCGTACATACATACAGTTCCCGTAGTCTTAAAATTCATTTCTAATGATATTGTTGTTTTTATAAAATTAAACCAGTTACAAATCGAATAAATGATAAAACCGCTGCTGATATAAAGAGAATTCTTCTGATAAAAAGGAAAAAGCGAGAACGTGGCAGCGTTACTAAAATCGCAAATCGTTTGGGCTCACCGGGCATTGGACCACACGAATGGTTAGTGTTGACACCAAAGGATAAAATACCAAAACCCGATGTGGTCTATTTCCCCAAGCCTCCAAAAGCACCAGATGGCAGTTTATTGTACGATCGTGTGCCCAATAAAGTTTTGGAGCCCGAGAAGGACTTAACCATTTTACCAGCGCCAGCGCCGATAGTAACAGCCCCCGTAGCTGCTGCAGTATTACCTACAGTGGTACCTGCAATTTCACCGTTGCCAGCTCCCAAGGTAACAGCAGTTAACACAACTCCATCGGCAACCAAACCAGCAGTAGAACGTTCAAGAGCGATTAAGGAATTGCCACCAGTTCCAACGCCTGTTACGGGCGGTGGAGGTGCAGCAGCGCGACGTACCGACTGTTGGCGCAAGCGTGGCCGTGACCGGAACGAGGAGGCAGCGGATGGTAATGAGTGTGAGTTGTGTAATCCAAATTACACAGCCACGAAGATGTATTTAATAATTTTTACGTATAACTAATCTATTTTTGCTTTCATTTTTGCTAGGAATGCTTTACCCTGCATATCCGCCAACTAAGCGTCCAAATAAGGATCCCATGCCATCCCATCGCCCAAGCAATGAACAATTTGCCGCAATGATGGCCGCTGCCGGTCATACCTTGACGAGACATCACGTAATTAATTAACTTTTATTGATGCTATAGAATATGCTTTAAACAAATTTTTCTTTACAGCTAAACGGTAAACCGAAGTTAGCACAAATGGGGCGTATCGGCAACGGACGCAAGCAGGTCATTAGCTGGGTAGATGCACCAGATGACTATTATTTTAGAGCTTCAGATACCAGCAAGTAAGTTAGAGTTCATTATTAGGAAGAAAAAATTTGCGAATCTCATCTAGTAACAAGTAAAAAAGTCTAAGTTCGGGCGGAGCCGAACATTAAATACCCGGCGCAAGTATTAAATATATGTTTTTCACCTTTCCGAAAGCTACCGCTACATGGTAAACCGAGGTGTATCCATTTTGAGTAAATTAGCGTCCTTAAATTTCGAAATATTGAAGTTTCAAGCATATCTGAAATTTACTGTTATATGAAAAGCGGCCGTAATTTTAGTTCGATTTCAATAAGTTTCAACGTTTTGCTTCTATGTGGCAAGTACAATAACCACACCGAGTTTGGTACAAATTGGTAGAACGGTTACCGAGATACATATATGTGATCATAAGTGGGCGGTGCCACGCCCATTTTTCAAAATTGTATCCTAAACGTATTTCTTGGTAACGAATTGTTGCAAGCATCAATTTTGAATAAATTAGCTTCAATAATTACTGATTTATCGAAGATTTCGTATTTCTCTAAATTACCGTTATATGGGATTATTGTCCTATTTTAAAAATTTTCGGCCATTTCGTATGTTATACCAAGGTTAACAACTGTGCCAAGTTTGGAAGAAATTGGTGCAGCGGTTACCAAGATATACACATGTAAACATAACTGGGCGTGGCTACGCCCATTTTCCAAAAATTTATAATATTCTTATTTTTCGTCTAAAACTTATTGTAAATATCAATTTTGAGTGAATAATCTTCAGTAGTTACTAAAATATCGCAGTATTCGTATTTCTGAAAATTACCGTTATATGGGAAGTGGGCGTGGTTATTGTCCAATTTTTAAAATTTTCGGCCATTTAGTATGCTGTATCAAGGCCAACAACTGTGCAAAGTTTGGAATAAATTGATGCAGCGGTTACCAAGATATACACATGTAACCATAAGTGGGCGTGGCTACGCCCATTTTCAAAAAAATGTTAATATTCTTATATTTCGTCTAGAATTTATTATAAATATCAATTTTGAGTGAATTATCTTCAGTAGTTACGAAACTATCGCAGTTTTCGTATTTCTGGAAATTACCGTTATATGGGAAGTGGGCGTGGTTATTATCCGATTTTGCCCATTTTCAATACCATCCGTACTACGCCCGAAAGAAGTGCACATACCAAGTTTCGTTAAGATATCTCAATTTTTACTCGAGTTATCGTGTGCACAGACGGACAGACGGACGGACGGACGGACAGACAGTCACCGCTTAATCGATTTCTCTTTTCATCCTGATCATTTATGTATACATTTGTCTATATCTATCTCGATTCGTTTTGCCTGTTGCAAACAACCGTTATGTGAACAAAGTTATAATACCCTTGTGCACAAGTGCGCTCGGGTATAAAAACTGTCACCGCTCAGCAGTTGGAATTTTCTATATACTGCTGCGAATTACATAACATTTCATAATCGCGTCTGAATTGAAAAATTTCATTTTTGGGTTGTGAGCGATATGAAAATACGGTGTATAAAATTCTAACTGTTTTTAACCGACCTCCGAAAAGGAGGAGGTTACCAGTTCGCCGGAATATTTTTTTAATTTATTTTCTTATGTATGTTACCTCATAACTCTGGACCACGTCAACCGATTTCGATAAGTCTTTTTGCATCGGAAAGGTAGTGTCTCAGAGGTGGTCCAATACTGATCTGGTTTAGATCCGATCATGGGATCAGAAAATATATATATATATATATATATATATATATATATATATATATATTTACATGTGATTTTCGTCTATGCATGGCATTCTGGGTTTTGGTACATAGATCATTCAAAGGTTAATCAAGTCAACCCAATAGCTCAAAACTGATAAATTAGCACATTCATGCTTTTGGCATAAGGGTGATGATATGCAAGATAAATAGCCTAAAAATAGTATTTGCATAAACTTGTATATATGTAGATAGAAATACAAATTTGAGAAAGAAGTAGTTTAGGATGAGCCTGCCTAAAACTATAACAATAATTCTAATTAATATATAATTAATAATAGCAACCACTCTGTCAAGTTGACATAGCGTCGAAGCAGCCGCTCTGCATAGTGCAAGTTGTATAAGGAAAAGGATAAGCAACAAGAGTTTAAGGAATGTGCTTAGCTCAGCGGTTAGTGCCGCTGACTTGGCACATCAATGAAGCTTAAACATTGTAGCTTTTTCTATTTTACTTAAAAAGCAATCATGATATAAAACTAAATAACTTTATTGAAATACAAATTTGACACTGATTACGTTTTTAAAAAGGAGAGATTGGGCCGTATGAATAAAAATAAGCAATTGCTTTTTCTTAAAATTTTAGAACTTTTACTCGATTTATTCAAACAAAAGTGAAGTAACAGGTATGAAATTTTAAGAAAAAGCAATTGCTCCGTTTTTATTCATACGGGCCATTATATATATAAAAATATCTGATACCGCATTGCCTAAAATTTTTGCCTAACTCCGGAAAAATCCATCAACTCTGCTGATTCACTTTTTACTTCGTGTATTTTTATACCCGAACGCACGCGTATTATAATTTTGTTAAAATAACGGTTGTTTGTAACAGCTAAAACGAATCGATATAGATATAGACAAATGTATACATAAATGATCAGAATGAAACGAGAAGTCGATCGATGTCTGTCCGTTCGTCCGTGTACTCGATAACTCAAGCAAAAATTGGGATATCTCAACGAAATTTTGTATGTAGGTTGCCCTTTAGCCAAGGTAGGTTGGCATTGAAATTGGGCGAAATCAGACTGTAATCACGCCCACTTCCCATATAACAGTATTTTCGAAAAATGCAAAAACTGCGATATTTCAGTAAATATTCAATCGAAATTGTTGAAAATTAGTATGTGAAGTGGAATTAGGGTAAAAACTAATATTAGTATACAATTTTTGGAAAATGGGCGTGACCCCGCCCACTTATGATAAAATACTGTATCTCTGGAGCCGCTACCAAACTCGGTCCGATCCTTTCTTAGGGTCCAAGTAGGAAATTTGTTGAAAATCTTTGAAATCGAGCAATAACCACGCCCACCTCCCATATAAAGGTATTTTACAGAAATACGAAAACTGATTTCATTAAGTCAGTATATTATAGGAAACGTTTGAAATCGGGGAAAACACCCCTGCTTATCATGTAAAGGTAGTAGAGAGAAAGTTGAGACGTCAATATTTGATAACAGCGCCGGGTGTATAAAATTCGGTTTCGCCCGAACTTATACTTCTTTACTTGTTTTACTTAGGTAAATACCGAAGTACTTAGTAAAAATATACCACATAGGATGTACATCAAATAAGTTAAAATCAGGGATTTGAACCCGATGAAAAATTTGGTCGGTTCGGTTCAGCGGTTTGAACCGTTTTTGCACTTTTGGATTGGTTTGTCAAAGCGGTAGGTATTACCATGTTTAACAAAACGAAAAAATAGTGGGTGCATTTATCTATTGAAAATTGGTTGAAACGAACCTTTAAACCTTTATGGAAAGTGGTTCGGTTTTCAGTTCGGATCAAACATATGTGGAAAATTTCGGTTCGGTTAATAGTTCAGTTAATTAAGAGAAAAAGCGGTTTTCCGGTCCACAACCGATTCACGTCCCTGGTTAAAATATATATTTTCTGACAGTGAAGAATATTCAGAAAGCAGAGGCACAATAGACCTAGGGTCGCAGTGCACATGTTCTAACAAATCTAATATAATCTAGGTAGATATATGTATGTACAACCAACATTGCCTTAAAAGTAAGATGTAGAGAAAATGCAGTATTTTTTGCTCATAATAATAAAAATCACAGTTTTTAAAGTCTTGAAGTTTATGTTACGATTCAATTCATTTTCAGAAAATGGCGCAAAACACTTTCCCCTACCGACCTGCGACGTGTTGCACGTAAACCGTGGCGAGAGCTACCAATCAAGGCACAACAAATTGCACAGATGGCACATGCTGTGACTGCACCGTCAATGGTGATGAGCAGACAAATCGAATCGCAAGTTGTAATACTCGACTGACCGTCGTCAGTGGCAGCAACCACAACGAGCACAACGACAACAGCAGTAGCAAAAACGATCGCAGTGACATCTACAGAAACTGGCACAACCGTTACGTCTATGGGACGCAATGAAAAACCACTACAACAGCAACAACAGTCACGGCAAATACAAAAACAACAGCTACAAACTCAAAGCAAAACCACAACACCACAGCGTACCCCACCACCATTTCCATACACTATGGATGCATTGCTGAATTAAATGCTTGTGAATTAAGCTTCTAATCATAGATGGTGAATATACGAGTCTTATGTATTTTAATGTTGTGGTGAGGATGCTGAAAGGGCGCAAATCTTGCGTATTGCCAATGCATTCAGTTACGCTTGCGCAGTTGCACTGGCGGGGGCAGTATGTGCGTGTGTGTCTGTAAATAGAGAAGAAAGCAATTCAAATGATTGAGTAAGGGTAGTACATACATAAATAGATTGATCGGTGGAAGAGTTGCCGAAAATGGCGGCAAGCAAATATGGACAACGATACAGCTACATATTTACAACTTTAATAGTGTGTAATTAAATAATTAAAATATACATAGAAAAAAAATTAATACATACTTAAGATAAGTCATCTCAACACTTAGACACATACGCATGGCATGTATGTATCGAATATATGTATGTTGATATGATATTTCGGAATTCACGGAATATGACATAATCTCAGCTTAAATTTATATCCGTAACTACAGCCGCAGCCGTATGGTTATTTAAAAGAAAGTGTAAAATTGAACAAACATTTTTGCGTAAACCTTTTCTGATCGGTCATGGTAGCCTTAGTTCTGTACAGCTTTGTCAACGGCCATTCTACTGCTTATGTTGTAATATGCCTTGTCATACTATTCTGCGTAAAATAGCCTGCTCTTCAACATTTTGCCTTTAATTTTTATCTGATTTTAGTTTAAGTACTTTATTTTGCATGAAATGTATATTCCTATTTTGATTATTGCATCCTTTCTCCTTAGTTCGATAAGTACTTTACGCTTTGCTATAGAATTTTATTAATTTGTACAATTGCAATGTGAAACTAAAAGTGTCACGATATGCTAAATGTGTTTTTAAAATGTAAAAAAACGTGAAAATGAAAAGAAAAAGATAAAAAATTTTCAAAACGTCAATTAAGAAATGTGCAACCATTTAATTTCGTCTAGATTTACTAACTTTCATCAAATCGTAAAAAAAATGTATGTATGTATGTCAATTGAGTTTCATGAACAATTTTTAACTTGCAAAGTCGTTTTGTGTTAATATCGTATTATTTTGATTCTTTGAAATGGTCGCAATATACATATTTTAAGAGAAATACAGTAATATATAACTAGAACAAAAATTGAATTTGAGAATTGAAGTTATTAACTATTGATTTATATATACTAAAATGATTCATGTGCTGTTTGCTGCTAACGAATATAACGAAGGGCGTAGCCAGCAGCTCATCGCAAAGGTTGAAAGAGGGGCAACGCATATAGACTCGAGGCTCCTCAAGACACACAGATAATGATTTGCTTACACAGCAGTAGAAATAAAAACAGATAAATTCTGCTCTTATATTTGTACAACATTTTTTTTTTGTTTTCGTTGCAACGGCCAAAGGAGCAAATAAGTATGGAGAGTATTTT